TCTAATGGACCTGGGGAGTGATTCTGGAAAGAAGTTCTTTTTATTACTCCCATTTCACAGATGGAGACACTGAGGTTAAGAGAGGTTAGGTGACTCCTCACCCTAGAACACACAGGTGCAAAGTGACCGAGCCAGGATTTGTGCCGTGCCTGGGTAACTTGAAAGCAAAGCCACCGCCCGGTTCTTCTCATGGGAGCATGTGGAGAAGTGAGCTGGGCTCGCTCTGTGGGTTTCCCCCTGACCTTCTGAGCCCCTCTCAATGGTTTTTAACATCTGACCCTCCTACAGGCATCAAGGATTGGCTAATGTCCTGTAAAGGCCCAGGCAGTAATTGTTTGAGGCTTTTTGGGTACAAGGTCTCGGTAGTGGGTACTCAGCTTTGTCCTTGTTGTACAGAAGCTGCCATAGACGATGTATGATTGAATGGGTGTGGGCTGTGTTCCAGTAAAACTTTATTTAGAAAAATAAGCATCAGGTGGGGGTTGGCCCCCATAGGCCAAGCTATGTATTTTGCTGGTCCCTGGTCTAGAACAGGGGTCATTTCTGACAGGAATGAATGGTGGGGATCTGAAAGGAGGTAATGTGTTTCCCATCCTAGATGTACTTAGATTATAAAAGAGCATCACTGGGAACAGCCAGTACCTAGTCTCCATGGACAATCATGTCTGTGTGGAAAAAAGGGTAGTTGCTCTCTGTCCTTCAAATCATAGCAGAAGAGCCATTGCCTGGCAAGCCTGTGTCTTTGCTTTGGGACTGAGAGGATTCATTAACTGGTACCAACCTGACATGTGTGAATGCTGATCTCGTTTGAAAAGGATTGACCTCATTAATTTCAGGTAGGAACACACAGGGGAACTTGTTGTGTGTCCCCGGGGAAGTCACTTCCCTTCTGAGCTTCTGTCTCCTCACAGATAAAATGGGGATGAGGGGATCCCTGGGTGGCTCAGTGGTTTAGCGCTGCCTTCAGCCCAGGGTGTGATCCTGGAGTCCCGGGATCAAGTCCCACGTCGGGCTCCCTGCACGGAGCCTGTTTCTCTCTCTGCCTGTGTCTCTGCCTCTCTCCCTCTATGTCTCTTATGAATAAGTAAATAAAATATTAAAACAAAAACAAAACCACAGGGTCCTGTGCAAGCTTGAGCGGTGATTCCAATGGTCAGCATTTTCATGTGCGCTCTTGAAAACAACACTGTGAATCGTGAGGACGATATGTTCCATGCTTTGTTCTGTTCCTGTTCTTCTGCAGCCTTGTGAAGCCTTTCTAGCCACCAGGAAGGGCAGCAGTGTGGTCTAAACAGGGTTCAGCAAGTGCAAAGAGCTGGTGAGGTGCAATCAATCACCTGCTCAGAAATAGTCAATGGCTCCCCGTTGTATATAGATTAAATCTCAGCCTGGATTCAAGATCCTCCTCAGCCTGGCTCTTTGCCGTTTCTTTTCTCGTGAAACTCTCCTACTCCATCTCTGGCAGTCCCTGAAAGTTCTTGGACATCCTCACTGGTGTGCCTTCATTTCTATTGCTTCCTTCCTTTGAGATGTCCTCTCCAGTTTTTGATCCCCAGATAGCTCTCCTCCCTGCTGATGGCTTGCATTTCCACCCCGGGGGACGCATGGCCCTTGGATGCTTAGGATATTGCCAAATTTTTAAAAGTCCAGTTGTACCCTTAGCATTTGGCAGCCTGACTGGAGCAGGTTCAGCTTAGGGTGATGCATCCCCCAAGGAGCCCAGCCAGGTCATCCTTCCGGTCTGCGGCCGCCAGGTGGGGGCAGAGGCGCTGGCGCTGCTCCCGACTCCTCCCACTCAGGCTGGCCTCCTGGAGGTAGGAAATCTCCCCTGGCTACTCAGGAACTGTTGCCTTTTTTTTGCTGCTGATGTTTCTGCATGGTTTTTTGTTTGTTTGTTTGTTTGTTTTTGATAGGTTAGGTAAGTTAAATGATCCAAACGTAAAGTCAGGCAATCGCTTAAGAGAAAAGATATGATTTTAACTACATGCAGTTAGGTGAAAGGTGATGCCTTCCTGTCCAAGTGCGAACTTCATTCCTACTATGTCCTTCTACTTTGTTTCATATCCTTAAACACCTTCATTCTTGCCCATGTGTCTGATACCTTATTCCTCAATGCCCTGTTAAAATTTTAACTTTTTATGTGTTGATTTTGCCTCCTTTATTTTACACATTTAATTACAATTTTGAGGACTTTCTGGGTTTTTTTTAGTCTTGGTGATTTCTCAGAAAAAAATTTCTACATTTTTTTTTTAAAGATTTTATTTATTTATTCATGAGACACACACACACACACACACACACACACACACACACACACAGAGGCAGAGACACAGGCAGAGAGAGGCAGGCTCCATGCAGGGAGCCTGACATGGGACTTGATCCTGGGTCTCCAGGATCACGCCCTGGGCTGAAGGTAGGCCTAAACCGCTGAGCCACCCAGGCTGCCTGAATTGCTACATTTAAATTCATCTTCTTAGCCATCCAAATCAAATATATATATATATATATTTTTTTTTCTTCTTCTTCTTTTCTATAGAAAGTGAGTAGAACAGGCCTTTTTTTTTCCCCTCCAGTTTCCCACTTTCCTATTTTTTTTTTTTAAAGATTTTATTTATTTATTCATGAGAGAGGCAGAGACATAGGCAGAGGGAGACGCAGGCTCCTCGTGGGAAGTTTGATGTGAGACTTAATCCCCACATCCTGGGATCACACCCTGAACCAAAGGCAGATGCTCAACCACTGAGCCACCCAGGTGTCCCTCCACTCTCTTGTGCTTTACTATTTTAGTTCAAGGATTAGATGCTCCTCCTTTGCTTTCCTAAATATTCTCTTTTGCAAGACTTTTTGGTTTTATCCATTGTGGTTTGCTTTTGTGCCAATAGGTGCAGCAAATAATTAGACCAGTGGTTCTCACACTTCTGTGTGTGTCAGAACCCTCTGGATGGCTGTTTACAACACACTGGTGAACCTCACCCCCAGGAGTGTGGTCCAGTAGGTCTAAGGCAGGACCTGAGAATTTACATTTCTAACAAGTTCCCAGGTGATCCAAGGATCCCACTTTGAGAACCAAACGTTTGTCTTGCAAACCAACATCGTTCTTCCTTTGGTGCTTGGTGACTTTGCTGACAAATGTCTCCATGCCTTCATCTGTGGTGGCTTCTAGATCTTGTGGCTCCACTGTCCCTGTGAGAAATCCTTTCTTGGATTTAGCTCTTGAATTCTGGAGTTATTTGTTAATTTTTAAGTTTTTATTTGTTAATTTAAGTAATCTCTGCACCCGATGTTGGGCTCAAAAATCAAGTCATATGGGGCAGCCCGGTGGCGCAGCGGTTTGGTGCTGCCTGCAGCCTGGGGTGTGATCCTGGAGACCCGGGATCAAGTCCCATGTCGGGCTCCCTGCGTGGAGCCTCCTTCTCCCTCTGCCTGTGTCTCTGCCTCTCTCTCTCTGTGTCTATGAATAAATAAATAAAATCTTAAAAAAAAAATCAAGTCATATGCCACTCCAAGCCAGCCAGACACCCCAGAATTCTGGAGTTATTTTTTGAAAACTTTTTGTAGACAAGACCAAAGACTAGAAGATTTTCCAAGCCTTCTTGCAGGTGCCTTCACTCATAAGGATGTGGCTGAGAGCAGCTGTCTTGGGTACATTGTTTTCCTTGCAGATTTGTAGAGGGATTCCTCATTCTCTTCCATGGTAGGAGATGGCTACAGTTGGTCAGATTGAAGTCCATTGCAAGGAACTTAGATTTTTTTTCCCTCCTTCTGAAACCCGGAGGTATATAGAATTAGGAGTTTTTCTTTGCTTTCTTTCTTTTTTTTTTTTTTAAAGTAAAGTTGACACCCAGCGTGAGGCTTGAACTCATGACACCACGATCAAGAGTCATGTGCTCTACCGACTGAGCCAGCCAGGCACCCCAGGATTAGAAATTTTTCTTTCCTTTTGAAGCTTGAACTCGTGACAAGCAAAGTCTTGAAGTTGTTCTTTAATTTTGCCTGAAACACAATAAATGCTCAGTATAATGGCTTTTGCACGGTTCCTCAAATAATTTCAAGGTAAACTTTTTTTTTCTGTGTAAGTCTTATTTGTCGTGCTCTTGAAGCAGTGCTCTTAGGGGTACAGAACTGTCAGTGTTCTCAACTGCGAAAATAGCAGCTCTTTCTTGCCACCGTGCCTTTTCCTGTGCGATTCCTTCTGCCTCGAGCACCCTTCCTCCCTCTCTGCCTGGAAAACTCATAAGCATCCTTCAGAGATGAGCTCAAATGCCGGTGTCTGTGGGGCTGGCCATGATTTGCTCAGATTTGCACTCCTCCTTGGTGTGCCCCACCCCACGATGCCCGCACCGTGCCCACCTCATGGAGCTACTCATTTCATTTTTGTGTCCCTGGTGCCTTGCCGGGTGTGTGGCACACAGTCACGATAGCAGCCACCATGTACTGGGCACTTACCGAGTGCCAGGCATTTTTAAAAAAATCCTTCCAGTATTCTCGTGAGGTTTGGATAGCCTTGTTATCCCTGCTGAAAGATTAGCAAACAGCAGTCTCTCGGGGAACTAAAGTAATTTGTTGCTGGCAGAACTAGACTACAAACTAGGCCTGGCAGCTTCCGGACTCTGTGCTCTTGGGGCACTCCGAGGCGTAGGCACTGGATCCTTGCTGAGTGAGTTATGAATGAACAGGTGGCCGGGACGAGTGCAGCCCCTGCTGATGGAAGCTCTCGGCGGGTATGCTTTTGATGACAGACGGGATGGGGAGCATTCTAGGGCTAGGCTGAGCCTGGCAAGGCTGGGAGGTGGGCAGGGGCGGCGGGGGGGGGGGGGCAGGCTGAGTGCACGCCCAGAGCCACAATATGGAAGGCAGACAGACTTTATCTCTCTAGTTCTCCATCTTGTGACTGACAAGGCCATGGTACCTGGGAAAGGCCATTCTCAGGAAATGAGGGTGACTCCTCCAGTAGTGATGGCCTGTTCTCCTTTCTCCCTGCACCCCTACCCTCCCTTCAGCCTCGGCTTTCATCATAGCCATGCTCCTGGCCAGCCTCAACAGCTGCTGTAACCCTTGGATCTACATGCTCTTCACGGGCCACCTCTTCCATGAACTTGTACAGCGCTTCCTCTGCTGCTCCTCCAGCTACCTGAAGGGGAACCGTCCAGGGGAGACCAGCGTCAGCAAAAAGAGCAACTCATCCACCTTTGTCCTGAGCCACCACAGCTCCAGCCAGAGGAGCTCCTCGCAGCCATCCACAGTGTGACCAGGCTGGGCCAGGACTGCCTCCAAGGGCTCAGGTTGTGCCAACGTAGACAGTCCGCCCCTTGGTGGCTGTGTGCATGTGTGTGTATAAGGTACCTTTCAGTTTGCACCCTTCTGGACCTTGGGGTAGCATGAGTGGGATGGGAAATCTGGACCCGGGTAGGGAAATAGTCTCCATGGTAGATGATGGGGGGTGACTCAGCCATCAAACAATCCCTGGATCTCCCCTGGCGTCCTATAGGTGTTTATTTACCCTGCCCCTACTGCTGTCCCTGGCTGGTAGATGTTTTTTTTTCTTTTTTTCTCCTGGACCTATCATTTCACTCCAGTATCTTTTTACTCCTTTATTCTGGGATCTTGTGAAAAGTGGTAAGTATAGGATTGGTAACGTCCTGGGTGTGGAAGCCTAGTGTTCTAAGCTCAGAATAAGGAGCAGGAATGGGACCTCAGATGTGGAGGGTGGTGCTAATGTCCTCCTCCCTGACTTCAGAGTGCTTTTTCTTTTGCATGGACCCATTCTAGCATCCTTGAGCACCAGCATGTCAGAAGGTGGCCCTGGGAACAGAGGATTCCCTTATGAAACCATTTGGCATAGGCAGCCAATTAAAACTTGTGTTAAAAATGTTTAAGAAGCTAATATTTACATGAAGCAGTTAGGAAAGAAAAAGAAACAAAAGGCATCCAAATTGGAAAAGAGGAAGTAAAACCCTTTGCAGATGGCATGATTTTGTATGCAGACAATTCTAAGGAGTTCATGCACATATACAAACCTGTTAGAAGTAATAAATGAATTCATTGAGGTTGCAGGGTACAAAGTCAACTTGCAAAAAACAGTTGTATTTCTTTATACTAACAATTAACAATATGAAAATGAAATTAAGGAATCTTCCCATTTATACTGGTATAAGAAAGAATAAATTTAACAACAGAAGTTTAAGACTTATACCCTGATAACTACAAAATATCATTGAAAGAAATTGAAGAAGATTTAAATAAATGGAAAGATATCCTATGTTCGTGGATCAGAGACTCAAATTGTTAAGAAGACAATACTATCCAAAATGATCTACAGATTCAGTGCAGTCTCTTATCAAACTCCTAGTTGGCCTCTTTGCACAAATTGATAACCTAAAACTCATACAGAAATGCAAGGGCCCCAGAATAGCCAAATGATCCTTTGAAAAAGAACAAAGTTGGTGGATTCATATTTCCTGGTTTCAAAATTTACTACAAATCCATGATAATCAAAAGAGTGTGGTACTGGCATAAGGATAGACATAGAGATCAATGGGATGGGCCAGTGGAATAGAATGGAAAGTGCAGTTATAAACTCTCATGTTTATGGCTAATTGATTTTTGACAAGTGTGGCAAGAGAATTCAATAAGGGAGACAGTCTGCTCAACAAATGGTGCTGGGCAAACTGGATATCCACATGCCAAAGGATGAAGCTGGTGAAGGGAATTAAGAGGTACAAACCTCCAATTATAAGACAAATAAGTCACAGTGATGAAAAGTATAGCACAAGAAATATAGTCAATGATATTGTGATAACGTTGTTATGTGACTGCAGTTACCATGGTGAGCATTGAGCAATGTATGGGATTGTTGGAATTCTATGTTGTACACCTGAAACTAATATAACATTGTATGTCAACTATACTTCAATAAAAAAAAAAATGAAGTTGGACTCCTACCTCACGCTGTATAAAAACTAACTCAAAATGCTTCGAGCCCTAAATGTAAGAGCTAAAACTATAAAACTGTTAGAAGAAAAAAAAACTGTTAGATGAAAACATAGGTATAAATCGTTGTGACCTTGGATTAGGCAGTGATTTCTCACATATGATTCCCAAAAGCATAAGCAAAGGAAAAGGAGGTAAATTAACCTCATCAAAATGGGGCACAGAACTTCTGTGCTTCAAAGGCCACTATCAAAGTGAAAAGACACCTCACAGAATGGAAGAAAATATTTGTAAATCACATACTCAGCTCCAGAATATATCAAGCACTCTTAGCACTTAACAATAAAAAGCCGATTTTTAAAGGGGCAAAATATTTGAATAAACAAATAAATAGACCTATTTTTATATCCTCTCCAAGGAAGACATAAAAACGGCCAATAAGCCCGTGAAAAGATGCTAAATGTTATTGTTCATTAGGAAAATGCATATTAAAGCCACAGCGAAATGCCACTTCGTGCCCACTAAGATGGCCGTAATCAAAAAGATGGGCAATAACAGGTGCTGGCAAGGATGTAGAGTAACTGGAACTCTCATACACTGCTTGTGGGAATAGAAAATGGTCCAGCCACTTGGAAAATACTTTGGCTGTTCTTCAAAAAGTTAAACATAGAATTACCATATGAGCCAGAAATGCCACTCCTAGGTATTTACTCAAGAGAAGCGAGAGCCTATACAAATACAAAAAAATTGTACATAAATGTTCATAGCACCTTCATTTATAATAGCCTCCGATGGAAATAACCCAGATGTCTGTCAACAGATGAATGGATAAATATGGTCTCTCTGAATGGTGACATATTATTTGGCTATAAAGGAATGAAGTCCTGGCACTCTCTACAACACGGATGAACCTTGAAAACATTTTGCCGAGTGAAAGAAGCCATTGCAGAAAGCCACATACTGGATGGGTCCATTTTTGTGAACTGTCCAGAACAGGCAAATCTATAGGGCAGGTTAGAGGACTATGGTTGCCAGGGGCTGGAAGTTGGGCTGAATGGAGAGGGAATGCTAATAAATGCTGGATTTCTTGGGGTGGTGATGACAATTTTCTAGAATTAGTGATGATGGTATGTGAGTTTTTAGAATATGTGAAAACCACTGAATTGAACATTTAAAAGAAGTTCACAAAAACAAATGTTTACCAACCAAATTCGGAGATGACCGGCTGGAAGGATGAATTCCTTAGAATCTCCCTGAGCTTCTTCTATTTCTGTGACTTACCGTGTAGGAGGAACAGTTACTCAGTTTTTCTGCAAGAGATGGTGTTTCCAGTTTGGCCAAAGGGACCAGCAGTGGTAATACTCCCATCCTGCTCTAGTACAGGCACAAGTGATGTCTTGGGCTGCAGACTGTTGTGTTTTATTTAGAAGGGCATTTCACCGAAGGTCTCAAAAGTTTTACACACCTGGTAAACACATTCTCAAGTGTCCTGTCAGCCCTGAGGAAGGATATGACTGTGCCCAAGAAATACCTTTGGTTGTTTAATACAAGATGTTCTAGATCAGAGGTTTTTCAATGGGGAGTGGCCAACTCATTGGTTCTTTAGTGCACTTTAAAAAAAAATTTCTAAAAAAAAAAAATAAAAAAAAATTTCTATACATATTTTTGTGACTCACTGTGTTACAAGTAAAAGCACTTCCCAAAAGCCACAGATTCACTTTCTATAAGCTCTGTCCTCTTCTCCCTCCACACTGCGTGTGCACACGACACACACATTCTTGCACATAGTAGAAGAAGCTAGCATGGTTTAGATGTTCAGGGAGAAGAGAGGCATGCCCTGGAATGCCAGTATTCAGACTCGTACCATTTAATGCAAGATCTTCAGTACTAACTGGACACTGTGAATACCAGGTAGTCCTCGCTCTTTGGGAGGCTAACAGGATGCTGATTTGGGGTCTTCGTGACCATGTATAGGACCACGGGGGCACTCTGGGTGCAGATGCAGCCATGATGGGGTCTGTTGGCAGTTGAGCCTCCCTGCTCACCAGCCAGAGTTGCCCTAGTCTCTGCTGTTCCCGGGAAGTTGCTGCCCTAGCAGCTAACAGAAGCCACTGGGGGCCACGGGCACAGCAGATCAGTGGCATTCGGTTTCAGCAGCACCCATGGTTCTGCACCCCTCCCCTCCCAATCTTGTGCTAGATACTATCTTCACCCTCTCAGTCTTTCTCGAACCAAGTCCTGAGCTCGGTTGTCTCTGCCCTCCTTCCCCAGACACCCCACCCCGAGGTCTGCATACACCTTCTCCCACCGCGTCAGACCTGTCTGCAAACCAAACACATGGCTGGAGCTGCCAATAAATTGGAGCATGTAGGTTTTCTTCTGCAATGTTTCATTATTCTGATGGTCAAAAGTGAAATGTGAACACTCGAAGGCTCTGAGCCTCATTTCCTTAGGCCCTGAAAGACATAATCTGTCATACAATCTGTGCTCCTTTTTGGATGGATCTGTGGGCTACGGCTGCACGAGGTCACCCTTTACAAATATCCTGGTTTCGAAAGTGCTTAACTTTTTCTATTTGAGTGCAGTGAAACACCACTAGATGCAAAATGTGAATTCCTCAGTTTTGTCCTACTGCAGTGACTTTCTCTGGTACCCTCATGGACTGTGCCAGCCGGTGCCTGATGTGGCCGAGAGCAAGACGTCTGCTTCATTAACTGCTTTATAAAAGGTGCACTGTATAAACATTTTTTTCCCCCATACATTGCTTTGCCCTCTTTCTCCCGCCCTAAGATGGTGATCATGCCTGGTGGCTGGTGGGCTTGGATTCCCCTGCAGGGCTGCAGAGTTCTCTGTCTATGACAGAAGGCCCCCAGCGGTGTGGCTGGGGTGGGGGTAGGGGGACCCGGTCCCATTGTTTGCGGTCATGATTTGTCAGAGTTTTGTTTTTGTTGGAAGATGCTGTAAGTCCCAGGCACAGACCTCTTGTGTGACATACCACACCCACTGTGTGCCACTGTCTAACTCTGGAGAGAATAGGATTTTAGATCATCACCTGGAAGGGACCCTACCACGTATTTCTTCCAGTGAGATAAGGGGGCCACCTGCAGAACCACAAATGGGTTCATGTTCATTCCTGGGGCTCCACTGACTCACACTTTGGAGCTGGGACCTTCAACCTGCCTTTTGAGCAAGAATCCCTGATAAGCTGAATGTAGCATGTGAGACAGAGAGAGAGAAAGAGAGAGAGAGAGAGAGAAACTCCACCTCCTTGCTCTGGCCTCTACCCATTATGCCCTCAGCATGCTGTTCTTCTGCTACTTCTCAAGGAGATTCCTGGAAGACACAGAACTCCTTATGCATCTTAAATGTTTGTCCTTTCTCCAGTTCTGGGAACTTCATGGGTAAATAAGTACCTGCTGTAATCTGCCCCTCAAGAAACAGAACAAGCTTGGAAAATTGGAGTTTTAGTCAAATCAGGTTATAGAAAGAGCCAAAGTGGTGAAAAATCTCTCTGCAGAACCCAAGATTCCAAGTGTTGGGACCTATTGACCTCAAGAGAGGTTTGAAGGGCAGCCCCTTCGAGGAGGATGTAAATAATGCCGCCTCTAAACCTTTCCAGCAGGAGGAGCCCGGGCCCACTGGGTCCACCTGAGAATGTACAGAGTCCCAGCACAGAACAGAGACAGGTGGGCTGGAGCTGCTGTGCTCTAGTGATGACTAGACCTCCCTGGGCTAAGCTAAAGGATGACAGCTGCAGTGTTTAGTAGCAAAAATATGGGTATCTGCAGCTTATTTTAAAATGCATAAAAAATAAAAGTGTGTAAAGAAAGCTGAGGTTGGTGGATGGAGAGAGATGTGACAAAGCAGGAGCAGTAAATGGGCAATGTCGAGCCTGGATGGTGTGCATTCAGGTGTTCACGGCCAACCCTTCCAAATTCCTTCTGTGTTTGAAAATTGCATAATAAGATACTAGAAAAAACAAAAATGAGTAAATTTTAAGGCTGAGATGGACATTAGGGATTGTTTTATGGATGGTAAAATTGAGGCCAGAGAAGGCAACTAGGAGGAGAGACAGGACCAGAACTGAGGCTGCCTGTGCCTTATCTCCCAATCTGCTCCACCACACTGCCCCCCAGTACTCCTTGGGTTCATGGCCAGGCACCAATGAGGCGATACCTCTGAAAACCTGCTGCGGAACCATAATTTTATGAGACATAAGTGAGTGTTGCATGGGGGAAGAAAAAGGTCAAGTGGGATTGGAAGACGTTGGCCTGAACAGTTTTCTTTCCTGCAGAACTTGTCAGAATCTTTAATGTACTGCTGTCTATTGAAAATCTCTGAGAGAAATATAGAGCATTTTCCAAACAAATTTAATCACAAAAGCCACCCCTCTTTTTTTCTGAGGACTAAGTTCTGGATAACACTCTTGGGAAAGTATCTGTAAAGAATGTAAGATTGCTGGTTCTTGTCTCCCCAGTGGGGTTAGGTGAAGAAGAGGTGGGACATGCCCTTGCTATTGTTTTTTATGTCCACAGTGAGTTCACAGATGCACAGATTGGGCCATAAGCCCTCATCACATCTCTGAAGGCTGAAGGTGTACACATACCAAGCAGCAGTGTCAGGGCCTTGGTATCTGTGGAGCCAAAGGGGAGGTTCAGAGAGTTTTGAATCCAGGCCCTGCCCTCGCTGGTGCCCAGGGAGGGACTCTTGCCCCTTCTGGCCCACGGGCCACTTTCTCCCGTTGGTGACTGCTGGCCAGCCCAGGGAAATAATCCCCTAAGTAACATGGGGGAGCAGATACCCAGCAAAGAAGAAGAAGCCCAAGAGAAACCGAACTCTGTTCTGATTCTTGAATTTGGCCCAGAGGAGGGCCAACCAGCTTGCTCCACTTGTTTCTTAGGGCAGCAAACTGTATTTTTGAAGCTCATCAGGGCATGCACCTACCCTATGGACACACAGAAAACACAGCATTCCCGAAATGCAGCCGAAACCGTTTATTGGAGCCACCCTTCTAATGCCAAGAGTCACTGGTAGCTTTCCCGGGCGGCATGCACGGACGGGTTGACCCCAGGTGGGAACCGAGTGCTGGTTTATGCTGTTACAGTACAAGTGAATGCAAAGACTTGCAGTAGCTGCCTCTTAGCAAATTATCGTTCCTCATGCCCGGTCACGGAGGCATCGAGGTGGGGTAGGGGGCAGAGTGAAGGGCCACTGTGCTTCTGTGGCAGGGCTCTTTTCTTGCTTGCTTCCCTAAACTGTGTGTCTTGGGGGGGAAATAGGAGTCCCTAAAGAGCAAGCGCTCACCAGCAGGCCCATGGAGCAGTGCCGTGGGGGGGCCAGCCTGGCCTGACTCCCCCTGCCCGGCCACCCCCCTCGCCCCCACCTGGCTTTACACTTCCTTCCGCAGCATCACCTTGATGTTGCTGCAGATCTGGCCCAGGGCGACAAAGAGCGGGTTGCAGAAGGTACGGATGCAGAGGGAGTAGATGTGGCTGATGCACTGGATCTCAATCAGGTAGCTCTTAATGCATGGCACCACCGCCCAGATGTGGCAGAAAGAGATGCAGGCGAACAGGAAGCCCCAGAGCAGGGCCAGCGGGACCCCCAGCAGTGTGGACAGCAGGCGGTAGCACCAGTACTTGGAGACGGTGAAGGTGGTGTAGCTCACTTTCCACACGCCGTCAAAACTGTACGTGCCCACAGGCTCTGCGATCACGTCTTCAAAATCCACCTGCGGGGGCGGGAAGGATAAGGCCTTAGGTCACAACATCCACCCACTTCTGCGCTTCTGTGGGCCAGCATCACCCTCTGGGTGGGGAGGGGGGTCTTGTCTCACCCGACGGCTGGGCCCCACCGCCAGGGATTCTGACCCAGCCCAGCCTGGATGAGGCCCAAGACTGCATCCCTGACAAGCTCCAGGGTGACGCCAGGGCTTCCCTAGAGCAGAGAGGCACACGAGCTGGTCCATCCCCTTGTCCTGTGGGTGGAGAAACAGGCTTCGGGATGTTGAGTGACTTGCTTAAAGCCAAAGTAAGAGGCAGGCCTAGAGGCATGGTTCTTAAATTCTGTTATTTTACGATCCAGTCCTAGTCATCCTAGGGGGTAAGAAAGAGGCCTCTAGCCAGGCTGATCCTGAAGATAGCCAGGTGGAGGGAGGCCCGCGGCTGAAGAAGCATACTGGGCACTCCTAGGACCCAATGGGATGGACAGCGTGTGCCCTCTGCCGATGCAGGTGCTTCCAGAAGGCCAAGTGCAAGCCCAGAGTGGCCAGAGTGAGGCCAGAGAGGCCTGGCCAGACAGTCACTGGGAGGAGCAGTCTCTGAAGGCTTTTGCACACCGGATTGACCAGATCTGAGCTGATTTTTTTTTTTAGAGGTTATTTATTTATTTATTCATGAGAGACACACAGAGAGAGGCAGAGACACAGGCAGAGGGAGAAGCAGGCTCCTTGCAGGGAGCCCGACGCGGGACTTGATCCCAGGACCCCAGGATCACACCCTGGGCCGAAGGCAGATGCTCAACCACTAAGCCACCCAGCTGCCCTGAATTTTTTTTATTTTAATTGAAGTATAAGTGATAATATAACATCATATCATTTTCAATATAATGATTCAGTGTCTGCATATTTGGGAGGTGATCACCCACTAAGTGTAGTTACTGTCCGTCACCACACATAGGTGACAAAATTGTGTGTGTGATGAAAACTTTTGAGATCTGCTCTCTTAGCACCTTTCACATGTGTCACACAGTATTATTGTGAAGTATAGTCACTGTGCTGGAACCTACGTCCCTGTGACTTATTTATTTTATAACTGGAGGTTGGTTCCTTCTGACCCCCTTCACTCACCACCCACCCCCGCCTCTGGCAACCACCATTCTGTTCTCTGCTCTGTCCTCTGAATTTTGAGCAGCTGGTTGGGCCGGTGGAGGCCGGGAGAGAGGACGCAGGTGGGGTCCAGTAGGGAGCTGCGGCAATAGTCCAGGTGGGACGTGGCGCCAGGTTGGTTTGGGGTGCTGGTGGTGGGTTAGAGAGGTGTGCAGGGCTGGGAGCTGTTGCGGGATATGGCATGAGGCAAAGTGAGGGCCGTGCTGTCCTGGCTAGTAAAGGTGTCTGGTACCGAAGAAGGCCGAGCAGGCCCCAAGCACCCCACCCTAGTCCTGCGGCGACCTCAGACTTTCCTCTCTCTGTTCCCCCACCGGCCCACCTTGCAGCTGGAGGGAGCATGGGCGCTCACAGAATCCGGTTCACACGTTCCACTGCAATGGTGGCTGAGGCCTCATTTGGGAAGTGGGAAAAAATAATCAGTAAACTTGGAAAAAAAAAAAAAAAAGGTTACTCTCAGCCAAGTCATTTAACTGACCTTTCTTGAGCCCCCACTATGCATTAAACAGCATCATAGCTGCTTTCTTGTCTGCAACGTCCTTTAGCACCACTAAGCCTTAGTTGTCGTGTCTGTAAAATGGGAACATGACCATCTTCCGTGCTCCTGGGCCATTTTAATAAAAGCTGGTTGAATGAAGGCTCAAAATCATCAGACTGTGGTGGGAGGGGTCACCTGTGGGGCCTGGTGGGGCCAGATCTTAAACACCACTCTTTCAGGGGCAGCCCCTTCCCTGCTTTTGTTGAGGGAAGGAGATCCTCTCAATTGGCTACAGAATTACTTTTCAGATTACTTTTCATTATAAAATGACAGCCATGTTGCAGAAAATTCAGGAAATAGTAAAAATAAAACAAAAATATCTCCAATTTATATTTCTCTAATACTAACAGTGTCATTGCTTTGGTGCTTTTCTTTCCAGGGTAACTTTTTTGAGGGGGAGAGAATGGACCTAATCATGTTGTTAGGTACAATGGGGCATCCTGTTTTTGTCCCATGACTAGACTGAGCTCCTGCCCCATGCCCCAGATCCCTGGATCCTCCTGGAGGCAGCAGGGGATGAGGTCTCCCCCAGGGGGTGATATGTTTATGGGAAGCAAAGTTGACAACCTGGGATTTCAGGTGATGTGGAAAGCTGACTCAGGGAGTCAGGAGCGCCTTCCAGGACTCCTGTAAATCTCAGCCTCCAGCTTTCTCCGCTGGGGTTAAGCAGAGGTCATTTAACCTCTTAAAGTTCCCCTGGATGGAAGGCCAGGGCTGGAGGGAAGAATATAAATATGGTCCTCATCTCAGAAAGAGGAGGCTGTGATGGCTGGGAATTCGGTGGACAGTGAGGTTTGGAAGCAGAAATGGAAAACTGGTGTGCTGGACATTTGGAAAAGAAGGCCCAGGTTGGTTGAGGAACATCTCATGGCTGTGGACAGTGGATGGAAAGGGCTGGGATCTTCTCTATTTGGTTTAGAGGGGGCAAAAATTCAGAGTTGCCGTTTCTTGGGGAGCTTTCAAATTGAAGAAGCTGGAGAGGATAGGCCTGGGGAACCATCCCGACCCTGACCTGGGTACACCCGTAGTGGTTCCTGAGGTTCAGTTAGATCCCTAGGGCCTGGGTCCTGTGGATGGAGGAGTTCTGACCTCTGCAGCCTGCCCCTCCTCCACCACGGCCGCACCCCAGCCTGATGCCTCTTAGCACCCAGGCTGGCTTCTGGAGCATGGTGCAGCCCTAGGAACTCTGCCAGCAGAAGGAGCTATTAGGGCAGAGGCATGCCCCCCAGCCCTGGTCCCAGCAGGCGCTTCCTCCCTCCTGCACTCTCCCACTTAGCACCTGTGGCCTCCCTGCCCTTCTTGTGGCTGTTCTCAGGATGGTGTCTCCCCGCCTCTCGGGGCAGGCGGCCCAGAGGTGGGAGGCAGGGCCCAGACTGATTCTAATCTAAGCTGTCCACACCAGCCCAGCCAGGGTCAGACCTGGAGGCGGATGCTGGCTTTGCAGCATCTAAGGTCCAGTCCTTGTCCACCGAGACACCTGCCCCCAGGCAGGGCTCCCAGCCCTTTCTTTCCAGCCACCGGCCCTGCTCCTCTGTAGCCCAGCCCGCTTTGTTCATTTAGTCCCACGTACTCTGACTTCAACGCATTTGATTATTTGTGTCTGGCCTCTGAGAGGCGGCGGAGTGGGAAAGAGCCCTGTGTGAAGTCCCACTGCTGAGGCTGGGGTCCAGGCCCCCTGCTTATTGGTTCTGCAACCCTCAGCAGGTGGACTGAGCTTTTCTGTGCCTCAGCTTCCTGGAGTCATCTCATAAAGTTTGTTGGAGGATTAAATAAGTTAAATAAATAAGTTCTGAATGCTCAGAACACTGCCCGGCCCAGAACAGCTGATTAATAACAACCGGTAACTGTTGTTGTTGGTTGTTACAGCATGTTGTCCCCAAGAGGACGTTAGAGCCCCAAAGGGGGCTTTGCGCACCACTGCAGGCGCTGCTCTGATGAGTGACTTTGGCAGATGACTTACCTCTTTGAGCTTCACTTCATCTGTAAAATGGATCTGCTATTTCTTAAAACCTTGTTCTGAGAAATAGAAATAATCATCCATTCACCTTGCACCCTCTATTCACCCACCCATCCAATCTCTCATCATCCGTCCCTCGATCCATCAATCCAAAGATCTATCCACCCATCCATAGACATCCATGCATCCTTCCCTCCATCCATTCAAACACAGATTTATTCAGCACCCACTCCGTGGCAGTGCTCAGCACAGTGCCTGGCACATGGTAGGAACTCAGTGACAGGAATTCTTGGTTCAGTTATTCTCAAGTGCCTATGAAAATACATCTCAGAAAATCTCTTGACACGCCAGATCCTGGGTACATTAGTTCTGCAGCTTCCCTTGGCATAATTGTGTGTGCGTTCATGCACACCTCAGCTTGCGCTGATGAGTCCTCTTTTCCCTCATTTTCTGTTTACAATAATAATCCCACTCCCAAGGACCTCTCTGAAGTGTCTTTTAATGATTATTTATTCGCAAAAGACATCGGCGCTGACATTTGAATTATTCCCCCTAATTGCCTTTGGGCACCGTGCATCGGGCGACGGCTTCGTTTTCTGGGAATCGAAGATGTGCTCTCAGAGGGATGGGCTGTGCTGGCAGGCCCAGCTGTTCCCCCAACTCGGACTGAGCCCTGGGACAGCTTTGGTCACAGTGCCTACTTTGGGGAGATATTTTTAAGACCCGGCTCAGGCAGGTCTTAGGCCGCCACGGCAGTATATCAGAAGCACACAGTGATTTCATTTCTTAATTTGTCTCTAAAGTGGAGGGAAGATGACTTTTTCTGGGAGGGTGGTGGGACGGGAGCTGGATCCATGGCAGAGCCTCAGGGCTTGGGGTGCAATTGGTGGGAGGGTAGGGGGTGGGAAGGATGAATGTGGCTGCTCATTCAGTTGGTGTCCCCTTCTTTGGCATATTTATTTTTGGAATAGCAAGAGAACTGGTTGATTAAACAGAATCAGCCCCCGCAGCCCCCGCAGGCTCCAAGAGGGTGGGGAAGGGTGCTGGACAGCAGGACCAGGCGTTGCCGGAGGGTTCGGAGAAGGCCAGCAGCCACCCCCTGTCAAAAATACCTCCCCAGATTCCTGTATGACTCAGTCCTTGGGCATCCTGGGCCCTGGACAATTCAGATAGAGTATCTGTGGGTGGGGAAACTGCTCTAGGCAGAGGCATGGGCATCTGGTGCCAGCCTCCACTTGACCACTGAGTTACTAGAGGCTTGGGGCATGGTGCTTTCCCTCTCTGGGCCTCTGGTTTGTTTGTTTTTGTTTTTTAACTCTACACCAAGAGGATTGGGCCAAGATCCCTAGTGAC